ATATATATATTACAACAAAAGTGCCACTTTAACTATTTCAAACAACTTACATAATCTTGATCAAGAAAACGTACGAGAGCAAACAATACATACAAATGAAAATAAATGAAACTAACAGCAATACCAAGTGAAGACAAAGCCCTAGAATCCAAGTCCAACCATAGCTTTCGGAGACCAATATTCTGATTTGTCTTTGTTAATAAAAGTATATATTTTACAAAGAAAAAACAATTAAGTACAGAACTTATTTTGAAATGTAAAACATATAAGACATAATTTAATAGATAGACTATTCTAAATACACACACATATGTGTGTACATATTTGCAAATGATCTATATATATCAACCTACATCAGATTATAATGTATAAAAATATGCAGAAAGGATATATAGATCAGAGAAACATAATGAAGGCTAGCTATGAGGATCGAAATATTCAAAAACAGATATAACCATGACCAACAAAAGTACCACTAAACCAGAATGACAAACATTAATCAAAACAAACAAAAAACAGATAATCACTCAATATTACAACATTTAAACCAAATGAAAGTACGTACTGAGATATAATAAAATTAAATAGACAACAGATTAAGATGAATTGGTACTATATATTTTTACAATATATATATATATATCAATGGTATACAAACTTCTTTTGAAGAGAAAATTAATGAATTAGATTTAAAAAACATATAATATATGCAGGGAAAAAACAAAAAAGACAAATAAGAAAAGAAAAGTAAGCAGAAGCAAAAAGGGAGGACGAAAAACAAATGGGGGAGATAATTCCAACCAAAATGTGTGTGTATACCACATAAACATCCTAGTTTATTTTATCAAAAGATAAAATATTTTACATACATATAATTGCTATATGAACAAGCCCTCAATCATTCACATATTGTGCAGATATGAGTTAAACTGGACAGAATTATGAAGATATATGTATACATAGCGAGCGAAATTATTAAAAAAAAAAAGTACTGCTTAACGTTTCAAACAACTTACGTTACCTAATCTTGATCAAGAAAACGATCACAATGTTAAATGCCAGTGAAAGTAGAAGAATTTTTTATCGATTTTATAGGAGAGTGCCAATTCAAATTTATATCAGTAAAAAAGCAATTTTGTACAAAAGAAAAAGTGTACAAATTAACTGAAGCTGCAAGATTTCTAGCTCTTTCGAAGAGAGAGAGAGAGAGAGAGAGAGAGAGAGAGAGAGAGATTGCAAGTGGCGATGATCAACAAGATCTCAGAGAGAGATTGCAAGTGGCGATGATCAACAAGATCTCAACTTTTTGCAAAAAGCACATAAAAATTTTATCAGTGATAGATAGGTGAAGGAATAAACGGGGATAGAACAAATATTCGTAGATTGTTGGAAAAAGTACCAATCAAGATAATCAACTAACATAATCAAGATTCAGAATAGTACCAATCCAGACAAAACCCTAGAATTCAACCATCTTCGGAGACAAATTTTGTCTTGTCTTTGTTAATAATAATAATAAAAAAAAACTTTATGTTTTACAAAAAAAAAATGCAGTTATTTATTTTTGAAATGAAAAATACTCAGAATAACACATCATTGAAAACCCATCAGATAATATATTGCAACATATATATTGCAATAGATCTATCAATAGATCTCAACCATCACATAATATATTTCTCAAATAAAAAGAAAACCCATCAGATAATATATAAAAACATGCAGAAAGGATGTAGATCTAAGAAGCATAACGAATGCTATAAGAATCGAAATATTCAAAAAAACTGAAATATTCATTGACTAACAAAAGTATCATCCATAAAAGAATGAAAAAGATTATTCAAAACAAACATGAAATTACTGATAAATATCCCATCAAAACAACATTTAAACCAAATAAAAGTACGAAACATGAAATAAAACTATCTAGAAATTAAAATGACTAAGATAAATTAGTGTACTACGTATAAAAACTCTTTGTGTTGCGCATCGCAAATGCGCATGGTAGCAATAGTACAAAAATTTACTTCATGAAACTTCTAAGCAATATCCTCGTCGTCCGACGGCGGTATCTTGTTAATGTCGAAATCAGCAGGTCTTCCATCCTTCTTGTTCTCCAGAGGCGGCGTATGGGCGGCACCATCGTCCACAGTGGGGCCGTGTGGTTCATTTAGATCAATGTTTAGTCCTCTTGTGGTCCCTCCTTGTGCCCCACCAGCCTCAGCATATGCCGCTAATTAACAAATAAACATACAATCCTTGTTTGTGTTAGTACTAATACAAAACACCAAAAAGAGATCCATATTACTATCAAAATGCAACAGCATCTGTATGTATTTTCTATAGTATGACACCTGGAAGTGGAGCCGACAGTGCTTGTTCTTGTTGCGGTTGCTCGACGGGCGGGGGAAAGCACCCGCGCCACTGGCGCTCAGGATGAGAGCGCATGTGGCCGAAGAGGGCCTTCCAGGAGTAAAAGTCCCTACGGCACACGCTACAAATCGGGCGAACCCCTGGAGGTGCCACGACATCGGACTTCCGTTTCAGTGGTATCCCACTAGTACTACTTCGGTTGTCAGAAATGGGCCTCACACTAGGAGCAGCCGCGGCACCTCCCCCAACTAGAACTCCTCCTCCTCCACTACTTCCTCCATCCATAAAAGTCACGGCAGGAGAGACACCAATGCTCCCCTTGGCCCCGTCACCACCAGGGGCTTGAATAGCCCTAAAATGGGGTGGAGGAGGCGGCATAGGGTTTTGCGAGCCTCCAACTTGGTCCTGATCACTGGAAAAAGGCTGAACCCTACACTGTTGTTCTCCGACTTCTTGCCTAGGGTTCGCCCTAGCAAGAAGCGGAGCAGACATTGCAACAACAGCATTAGGGTTCCCGACATCGCCTTCGTCCTGTTGAGTAGTTGGCTTCTTTTCGGCCTCGAATTTCTTGTCTGATTCATCCTTGTTATTGGTCATTTTTTAAAGAAAAATATGTCATTTATTTTCAGATATATTACAAGAATTTAAGAGGGTTCAAGCAAGTAGGGTTTTGTCCTTGGCTAAGGATTGTATATATAGTGAGCCTGATGAAATTAATTTATTAAAAAAATATACATTACATGAATGGTTAAAATATATATTATTCATTTCATTTGTTTTCTTTTTGAGGATTCATTGTATCCCTAAGAATGAAAAAGGCCGACCCTTCATCTGGAGAATCCCCAGAAATGGAAGTTTAAAGCCTTAAAAGTTATGTCTCTTCATTTGTATCCAATTGGGGGAATGTATTTGGCTCCACGTAGTGATTTGCCCTAACACTTCCTTTTTTTCCTCTCTCTATTTTTTTTTCTTTTCTTTTTTTTTTTCCTCTCTTTTATTTTGTTTTTTAGGATGATCACGTCCTTACGTTTCCTTTTTTTCTGTTTTATAGGGAACAGGTTTTTCCTCTTCGGGGGTATTTATAACAATTTCTATGAGAAAATCAAAAAATCAAAACAAGGAACAAATTTTGGATCATTTTATACTATCTTCCCTTCATATTAAGTTGGTTAGGATTAATTTCTAGTATAGCAATTCAGTTTGAAGTTGATGTATAGATTGGAATTAAAGTGGGCTTATATGATAATTTACTACGTCATACAGGTTGTTGTTTTTCTTTTTTTCTATTTTCTTTTCATTTCGTGGATTATTTTCTATACTGGGTGAGTATTAAGATATTATATATATCTTTCTATATATATAACAGCATTTAATAATATGGAAAGAAATCATCCATGTATATATATGCTAACAAAGCTTATCCCAAGGTTTTCCCTATACAGAAAAAAAAAAATTAACGTTTTTGTTATGGATAAAAAAAATCTTCCAGTTTTGTTATTACAAGATTTCCTATTAAATGACTCAAGCCAAGCAAGCTACAGCTATATATCACAGATTTTGAATTTCAAAAATATTAAAGAAATCTTGCTATTTAAGGAATATTATCCCGCCATAGATTTTGTAGATACATGTAATTCTGTCCACATCCATTTTCTTACAAGTTTCGAGTGTTTGTCTCTTCACTTATTTATTTCATTATATCTTGTAGACCACATTATATAACTAGTACAACAATTATAAGCAACAAGCTATAGCTAGACAACGTGAATAATCACGAGGAATTATTATAAAAACATGATTAGGCGAAAGTAACCATCTAGCTAGCAGTAAATTAATTAATGTACCCTATAACATGCTTTAATTTTTAGATAATTAATTAAAATGAAGATATATAATAGGCATCACCTTTTTATTGAAGTCATGCTAAGAAACCTTTTACAAAGTAATATTCATGTATATGACTAATACATAGTCTTTTAATTCCCACTAGGTGCTAACAGACCCAGATAAAAATTTAATTAGTGTGAAAATCACTACCCCTATCTCATGTGTTTAGCATCACATTCGATAATTTGGAATGGATTAAGGGTATCATTCGATATTATGTAGTAAAATGATTTGAATTAAATAATTTAAAAGTCATAACATACTGTAGGTTTCAAAAGAAAACAAATTACTCTAAGACTTAACGAAAAAACAAATTGAGTGTATAAGAAGTAGAATTAACCGATAAACTTGCTTGAATTGTTTTTGCTGACCAACATTTTACCTAGGAAAGTAATTTTGTCGGGAGAAAAGATTTGTACCTACGAAAGGCTTTTAAATTTCGTTGGTAGGAAAGATGGTTTTTAATGGATGTGAGTCTTCTGCGCCCATGCTTTTTTCTAAACCTGCACCTTCCTTTATTTAAAAAAAAAGGAAAAAAAAAAAAAAAAAAAAACTAGGTGCCGTCTTTTTTATTGCGTTTTTTTAAAGGTAATTTTTTTTTTTTTTATATTTCCCAAAGAATCTTTCGTCAGAAACAAATATTCAATGGTTGCCAATGGTTCATCAATCAAATCTCGGTGTAGGTGATGAGATAATCTCCTTGTTCATTTCACCAATTCTACTTTTCAATTTTAGGTTTTTACAGTTAAAAGCTCTCAGAAAATGTTATATCTAACTTTAAAAGCTCTAAAACAATGTCACATCTCAGCTCGAATTAAAAACTCGAATCCACGAAACGAATGAAGTCAATATTTACTAATACTATAAAGATTCCAAATAAAAATTAAGATTATTAGATACTAGGAGTACTATAGAAATACAAAAAGTATGTATATACTTTACGTTATTTAAGAAGAATCATCATTCAACTCCACCGTTATAGTATTTATTATTAGAATATTTTTATATGGACTTCTATAATCATAAGAATTCACTCTATTATGAACTAAAGCATGTTATAATGGACAACTTTATTGTTTTCACATTATTGATATTGATCATCTAAGATTATTATTCGTTTATATTGTAGTAATTTTCAACATTTATTTCTTCTTATATATTCCCGCCTTCTTTTTACCAATCGCTTCATTCATGAAAGTTCAAGTTATCAGCGCACTGATGATTGATGAGAATGTTCCATGTTATAGTATACAAGATTAATCAAGGCAAGAGGAAGTAATTTTGTCTGGGAAAAAAGATTTAGAAATTAAATTACATGAGATTCATAAGCTAAAATTTCACCTGGACCATCAATAGATTTAGCTAGTGCATTGATAACATGATATGAAGAGCCTCACTTATCGGTATCTGAGCAATTTATCTTGAAATGCTTTTAGATTTTGTCAATAGGAAATATGGTTTAATGGATGTGACCCTTTCGTATTTATGCCTTTTTGCTAAAATTGCACCTTTCTTTATAAAAAAGAACTTGGTGCCGTCTTTGATATTTCTCAAAGAATTTTTCATCAGGAAACAATTATTCAATGGTCGCCAATAGTTCATCAATCAAATCATCGTGTAAGTGAGAATATTTACGAATACTATAAAGATTCCAAATAAGAATTAAGATTTTTATATACCTAAGGGTATTTTAGAAATACAAAAAGCATAAACTCTGCGTTATTTAGGAATAATCGTCATTTAATCTCCATCTTTGAATATTTTTTCTTCTTCTTCTTATATATGTATATTTTTTTTACTAATTACTTCATTTATGAAAGTTCAAGTTAACAACCATGAAAATGTTCCATGCCATAACATACAAGAATTAGTTTTTGGTTGACGAATAAGTTTTCCCGAGGAAAGTAATTTTGTCGGGAGAAAAATTTTAGAAATTCAATTAAATGAGATTCAGAAACTAATTTTACCTAGACCATCAATAAGTTTAGCCTGCATTTATAACATGATTCAAAAAGCCTTATTTACCGGTATCTGAGGAACTCGTCTTGAAACCTTTTAAATTTCTTTAATGTAAGTTAGATATTTACGAACACGATTAAGATTCCAAATAAGAAATAAGATATGGTTATTATATACTTAAGGGTGTTCAGAAATAGAAATTATGTTACTTTGATATATTATTTAGAAAGAATTACTAGCTTCACTTACCGGTATCTGAGTAATTTGTCTTTGGAACATTCCTTAACTCTAGTTTGGATTTTTATGAAATTTTGTGGTAAGCTTTATGATTATATATTATGCATTTTATGATTTTCACATGACAATTAAGTGGATTTAAATGTTCTAAATTCACGCGTCACCTGACAAAATTATCGTCTGAGGGTAATTTTTTCCGAAAATATTAATTTAAGCAAAACTTAGCGAATTAAATTTCGAGTGGAATTTTTAATATTGGGTTCTTAATCAGAGTGTCGAAATTAGGCAATGAGGAAATTTTTTTATAAAAATTCTATTTCGGTGCCAAATGTGCAATTTTGACAGAAAACGGAACCAAAAGCGTAAGGTTTTTGAAAATATGGGGTGTAAGGCATAATTTTAAAAATGTGTGGGTCAAAATAGAAAAGAAGGTAGGATTTTCTAAAATTTTTTTATTAGTTGATTGGGAGTCACCACCCACAACACCCAATGGGATTTAACTTAGTTAAAAAAAAAAAGAAAAAAGAGAGGGAGAAAAGAGTATCGATTATTTCATACCCCATGTCTTTAGATAGTCTAAAATCTATTTTTCTTTCATCTTCCTCACTCTCTCATTTACCATTCCCATAACTCTCATGAGTCCATACAAGAAAACCACCTTCCACACCCCAAACCTCAATTTTCTTCAATATAGTGTTGGGTGTTGGTAAGTTTACTTTCTCAATCACTTTTCAAAAATGTTTTCCTTATGAGCAGTAACGAGTATGAACTTTTCTTATGTTTTATCATCAATATTTTATTTCAAATATATCCACTTATGACCAGTCATATCCTCATCTTCAAAGCTACAAGCTCGGTTGTTAGAAAACCGTATTTTTAGTTAATTTTTAAGGGTAAGACTCAAATATTTAGGATTTTTGTTCTTGTGGTTGAATGAGTTATTTTGATGGCTTTGGTTTGATATTCTTGTTGGTTGAACTCTTAAAAAGAATGTTGGTTTATGTGAATGAAGATTAGTTTTGAATATAAAAGTTGCATGCTATATGTTTTACAAAATGATCATGAATAAGTTTCTGTGACCAGCTGTGAAGTTTCAGTTTTTTTGGTTATTTTATACATTTTTTTTGTCACATTTGATATTTTTCTCTTAAAATAGACATCTTAATCTTTAATTGAATTTTTAAATCGCTCAAAAACAATTTTTCTAGAATTAATTATGATTTTTACAAGCTCATGTAAAAATATGTCAATTTCTTGACAGGAATTTTTAATATATATTACGGGCTATTTTTGATGAGCTTAATAAATCCTAAACCTAGCTTATAATAGCTCTAAAGAAAGCTCTATGAGTTTATTTTAATTTGACTGGTCTCGTAATTTTTTAATCTACCTATAATATATTATGAATATTTTTGTAAAAGCCGATGAATCTATTTTTTTACAAAAGATTGTTTGTGATTAACATTTGTGCTATTAAATATGGAGTTGATACTTTGATATTAAAGATTGGTTAA